AGCAGTTGCCATTGGGGTTGTGCTTGTTTGTTCTGTGGGCCAATGCACCCACCCACAACCGTCAAGACCTCACTGTTCTTATCGCATCCCGACTTCTATCACGTGCAACTCAACTCCAGTCCCACTGCCCCTCTCCATCACAACCTTTGTGAACCATGTTCACATCCCACTGCACTCCCACATCATAATGCTCCTTCTTTGCCTGCATCCGCTCCTCCCAGCCTCCCGCCCTCTCTTCATCCATCCTGCAGGCACCAACTTCCCCTTTGAGCCGCCAGGCACTACCATCGTGGGGTTGATTCTGTCTGATCTCCAGGCGCCTAAAAACCTGCTGCTGCTCTTGCTCCTTCTTCCACCGCTGTTGCTGGCCTTCTCACTGCCACATCTTCTGAGGCGCCTCAAGAATCGACCATCCACGCGCTACTTTTTTTCAAAGAGAGCCCTCGCTGCCCAGCAAGCTGCCATGGGTGTGGAGATTACTTGCCAGTGCAGGACTGTTATGCAGGAATAATCTGTACACGTTGATGGGACCATGTGCCATGTGGGAATGAATTTTGTCGCGAGATGAGTCTTTAGATAATGCTTTGGATTTTATTCCTTTGAAGCGTATGCGTTATTGCTTTTTTCATTCTGTCTCTGACAAAATAGAACTGAAATCAGAAACGAAGAATGTGGGTACGGCGATGCTACCTTTGCTGCATTGTCAACGTCTCTGCTTTCAAAATATTTCTTTTTTTAGAAAGTGTTTCATTTTCAAGATTTATCATTTATGCATGCGAACCTCCTATGAAAACAAACAAACCATGGTGTCGAGCGACAAGCCAAGCAATCACTCAAACAAATATGGTGCTGTGAAGGGCATTGTGATGCCAACCCTTGATTCCATAGTGCAAGAAAAACCCATGTAGCCGCACTTTCTGTTTCCCAATTTTCAGTCCTTTCTCGCATGGTCCCATCCTGCGTACACAAACTCCTTGGCAAACTCCTGCACCTTCCAGGCAGCAGCAGCGGCGGCCACAGCCAGCAGAGCAAGCGGCACACGAGCACGCAGGGAGGTGGAGGCGGCAGCAGCAGCAGCAGCGGAGAGCAACGAGACGGCGGGCAGCAGCAGCTGGAGGCGCTGCAGGTTGGCGAAGGTGGCGGAGCAGGATGTGCAGTGGGCGGTGTGCGAGGGCCATGCGCTCCAACACCACCTCCTTGGCGGGCCGGCTGGGGGGGGCAGCGACACATCTGAGGAAGGCCGGCGTGGTACTCCACGGCTCCACCTGGTGCACGTGGGGATAGGAGGTTGTGGCAGATGGATGACATGTACAGGTCAGGTTGATGGGTGGACAGAAGCATTAACAGGTGAGGCAAGACGGGATGGCATTACGGCACGACAAGGAGGGATGGCACGAGAGGGAAAACAAAAAAGTAGAAGTTTGAAATATAAAGCTAGCCAAGTATGCTAGTTGGCCCTCAAGTAAGCTCTGGTGTGTTGGTCATTCTCAGCCTCGCTAGCCTTGCGCTCTCGTTGGTTAACCAAAGCAATTGGCTATACTCGTTTCACCCCAATCGGGACATCCATGACATCAGAAAGCACAGGCACATATTATCTCCAAGCAAGCACAGCTGGCAAGAAATACCTGAAAAGGATCCTACTTACTACACAACCACCTGGCTCCTCTCATGAAGCAACCCACTCGTGTTCGGGACACACCTGCATATTTGGAGAGCCATTGCCGGAAGGCAACCACAGGGAGGTCAGCGTTGGTGGGCATGTAAAACGCCCTCCACGCGCTCCCCCTTCACACCCCTGCGCCCCCCGCTTCACTTCGCCCACCCTCCGCAGCACCTCCCCCCTGCTGTGGCCCGCCCTTGCTCGCCCGCGCCTTCCTCCATCTGCTGCTCCCTCTCCTGCAGCACTCGCTCCTGGCAGTGCAGGAAGTAGGAATTCGCCTGATGGGCATGGCGCTGGACACACATGGCACCCCGGTGATGTGACAAGAACCGAAAGAACACCACAATCATAAGGCTATCATCTGTGATCACTGATTCCGTCACCGCATCGTACACCTGGTGCAAGCGGAGGTGCCGCACTCACCATCGTATATCTGGTGCAGGCCGATGTGCCGCAGCCAGCGCGGCATGGAGGGCAGCTTCTTGCCGTCGCCGGGCCTGACCAGGTTCACCTGCACGACGATGCTGCTGCCCGGCGCGCTGGGCGTGAATGTACAGCAGCAGCACCAAGCTCGTGTTCGCCGCGGCCTTCCTCTGCAGGAAGGGGAACTTGGGGGGGCGGCGGGCTGGGGGGGAAGGGGAGAAGGGAGGGGGGAGATGGCTTTTGAGTGAGTCGACTAAAAAACACACCAGGTTCACCATGCACGACGATGCTGCTGCCCGGTGCGCTGGGCGTGATGTACAGCAGCCAGCACCAAGCTCGTGTTTGCCGCGGCCTTCCTCTGCAGGAGGGGAACTTGGGGGGCGGCGGGCTGGGGGGGGAAGGGGAGAAGGGAGGGGGGAGATGGCTTTTGAGTCGACTCACAAAAACTGACCAGGTTCACCTGCACGAAGATGCTGCTGCCCGGTGCGCTAGGCGTGATGTACAGCAGCAGCACCAAGCTCGTGTTCGCCGCTGCTGCCCCGGCGGAACCCCACTTAGGAGGCATGACTTTGCGTGGCAGCAGCTTGTTTAGTAAAAATGTTTTTTGTGTTGGTAGGCTTGCTTAGGACCTTTGTAGAAAAAATATTGGTGGTAACTAGTTTCGGCTTTGAGCCTTCTTCAGACCACAAAGGAGAAAAAGAGAAAGCAAGCACCCTAAATACCAAAGCCCGAGGCTCCGACGCGAGGCATTCCTTCGCGGGGCTGGGATGGCAGGGAAAATCTAGATAGAAACAATAGAAATGAAATCTACAGTAAGCTAGCACTTATGAGCAGAAATTATATAATTGCCTACTCGTTTAGGTAACCTCCATGCGATGATGTTTCTTCTTGTAGAAAATACTCCGTGTGACATTGTAACGAGATGACTTTTGAGTCGACTCAAAATGTTCCCCAGGTGCGAACGGTCAACCAGCAGGTTGAGCAGAAGTTTCAGCACGAGGGGGCCACGGGTAGAAGAATTGCGCAAAGCGGAGGCACGTTGGAGTAATTCCCCACGGTTGGAGAAAAGCACTGTCTTGAAGATTGGAAGGAGAAACTTCTCAGGATGCCCACGTGCTCGTAAACGAGCAAAGAAAAGTGCGCGGGAGTGTAAGAAGTCAGTGCAGTGAAGAGGAGCGTAGCAGGAAACGCTGTAGCTCACTCCGAATGAAACCCAGTTTGGTGGTGCGAGTATGGTAGGATTTAAACGGCAGGTATAAGTACCGGTTCATTGGCTTCTGGTACAGCTTCATGTCGAGTGTTCCAGTAGTAGAGAACCGTTCCCCCTTGAAAAACCGTAAGATCCAGAAAGTCCATGGTAACGTCAGAAACCACCCAGGTTAGTCGAATTGAAGGATGTAAAGAATCGAACCGTTGACGAAAGCACGAAAAGTCTTCCTTTGTTCCCTCCCACAGAATGAGACCATTGTCAATAAAGCGAAAGTGGAGAGCGGGAGAAAAACGAAGCGAAGCGTGCAGTTGAATGTCAAGGTAGCTCAGGAAAAGCACCGCGAAGCAAACAGCCACTGAAGTGCCCATCGCAGTGCCTTGAATCTGGCGGAAAAAACCGGCCGTTGTAAGAAACGTAGCTGTTGAACATCACCCATCTGAGCAAACGGACGATGACTGGGGCCAATGGATGTCTCTCCTTTTTGAAGAAAAAAGGCGACAGCGTCTATCCCGTCCCACAAGGGGAATTGACGGGTAGAGCGATTCCACGTCATAAGACGCCAGCAGCATGTTAGGTGAAAATGAAAATGAACATTGCTCGAGATGAAGAATCAGGCTCTGGGAGTCCTTAACATAGGTCGGCTGTTTGAGGACCAACGGGCGTAGGACTGAATCCAGCCAGCGAGAAACGTTAGTAATTATCCAAGAATGGCAAGCCGCGATAGGCCTCCCAACAGGAATTTTCTTATGGATTTTCAGCAGCACGTAGAAAGCTGGAACCTTCCAGCCATTCTTAGGTTGATGAAAGAAAGAATCCCAAATTCTGGATTTAATGACACAGCTCCACTCAGATCGAATAGAATGAAGCTCTTGGAGAATGTTAGTAATGGGAACCGTCGAGTATTCCTTGTAGACCGTGTTATTGAGCAGATGCTTCAGACATTGATCCTGATAGTATTCTCTGCTCATGACAGTTAGTCCAAGGTTTTTTTCCGCCGGCTTGAAAATGAGATTAGGATTGTTAGCAAGTCGTCGCAGCATCGGGAGCACGTTCTTAGACTTCCGTGTGAGTGAAGTGAAAGTTTGTCCAGCAATTTCTTTAACGGCTGCTTCTTTAAACACCTCCAGCGCGGCTTCAATTTCAGGTGAGGCTGGTGGAGGGTTCCAGTTAGTTCTCTTAGGTAGCTTGTACCCTGAGTAACCGAAAGAGTCAGATCCATTAAACAGGTACATGGTACAAACACTTCTAAAGAAATCAGAGATCTCTGCTTCGAAACTGGCGACAGTACAAATTACAGGTACGGGGATGAATTTCAGTCCAAGGCGCAGAAGATTAAGTTCCTGTCGTGTGAAAGAATGATCACTGTAGTTATGGATACCGCGGTTGGTGATCCGACATTGCAGTTGGTACTCGGTTTGTCTTCCGAAGAGCACCAAAGCAAATGAGTGCACATCACCCATTACTGTCGAGTCGTTTTTCTGCGGCCTCCGCCTCCCCCGTTTTTTGTCACAGGTTCCTTGCGGGATGAAAAGGAGGAGGAGCCGTTGCGTCCAGTCGACTTAGAGCCGTTGCGAGCAGCTGTCTTAGAGTAAGAGCGACCCACGGTTTTAACCGCTGATGCTTCTGCTTCGTCAACCTTCTGCTTCATCTTGAGTCTGCTTCCCAGTCTTTTTGCCATTAAGGCCCTTGTCATTGGATTTGCCGTTGGCTTTCGGAGTCGAACGAGACTTCTTGCCTGTGCAGGCGTTTTTCCTGACATGGATACCGGAAATGTTAGACTTAGATTTAGGATTTCCAGAAAAAGCAGCCTTATCCTTGTTGTTGTAGCCGGTCTTTCTCGCAGGTGTCTTAGTCGAAGGCTGCTTCATGAATTTCTGCACCTCTTGACGAGCGATCTCACGGACCGTAGGTTCAACCGGCAGGTTCTCAGCTTCCTCAACAGCAGCCGTTTTCTTAGCGTCAAGCTCCTCCTTCTTCTGTTTCAGGAGGACTTCCGCCATGTTGGTTTCCATGTAGACAATCGAAACGGAATCCTTAAACTCCGTCAGAACGCGTGCCTTGAAAACATCTAGGCTGTCAATGAGTTTTGGGTTCTTTATGCCGAGATCTGACTTCTTGTTCAGGTTGATGAAGTTATCGATGTGATGAATGAGTGACTGATAAACAGCACAGGCGTCGCTGAAGGCCTTATCAGCAGCTTTCTTCTTCATTGAAATGAGAATATTCTGCGTACTCTGGCAATATGCCAATTTAGCGGCTTCCAGGTCCTTATCTGCTTCTTGACGAATATCTTCAGCATGGCAGACGAAGTTGAAGGATTTAATCCGAATAGAATGCGGGATGATACCGCTCTTCTTCTGCTCCTCCATAAAATTGTATTGCTGCAGCAGCGTCCGATACTTCATAAAATGCCTTTTGAAGTCACTGACGGCTTGAGACTTAAGTGTCTTAAAAATGGCTGGTGTAGCCTGCTGATCCAGAAACGATGCGTTAATATCACCGAGAAAATCAAGTGAATCCAGCATGATAGTGTCACGAGTGACAGAGTCCTGGATTCCTTGGACTGCTTCCTGCTCCGGAACCGTCGTGGTAGCATTAGTAGCCATCGTAACGGGAGTAATTCCAGGAGCGTCAATGGACTTTGCGAGAGTAGCACCAGAAGTGTCAAGACCTCTCTTCTTGCAATGTCGAGAAGCAGAAGGAGACTGTGGAAAGTCCCCTTGGCTGACCGGCTTTTTATCCTGGCCGAGCTGCGAAATTCTTCGCGATGCTCTCAATGGCCTTGGGATAGTCGGGACGCGGTCAGCATTGTTCGTAGTAGTGTTTGTAGTAGTGTTTGATGCGTTAAACGTGTAGCCGGCCATCGCAGTAGTATCAACTGACAGTCCAATGGAACCCCACTTAGGAGGCATGACTTTGCGTGGCAGCAGCTTGTTTAGTAAAAATGTTTTTTGTGTTGGTAGGCTTGCTTAGGACCTTTGTAGAAAAAAATCTTGGTGGTAACTAGTTTCGGCTTTGAGCCTTCTTCAGACCACAAAGGAGAAAAAGAGAAAGCAAGCACCCTAAATACCAAAGCCCGAGGCTCCAACGCAAGGCATTCCTTCGCGGGGCTGGGATGGCAGGGAAAAGCTAGATAGAAACAGTAGAAATGGAATCTACAGTAAGCTAGCACTTATGAGCAGAAATTAGATAATTGCCTACTCGTTTAGGTAACCTCCATGCGATGATGTTTCTTCTTGTAGAAAATACTCCGTGTGACATTGTAACAAGATGACTTTTGAGTCGACTCAAAATGACTTTTGAGTCGACTCAAAAGTCACCAAGCTCGTGTTTGCTGCTGCTGCCCCAGCCTTCCTCTGCAGGAAGGAGAACTTGGGGGGCGGCGGGCTGGCAGGAGAGGGGGGGAAGGGAGCGGGAGGAGGGTGGAATGGGGAAAGCGAGGAGTAGAAGGGGAGGTGGAAAGTGAGGGTGGGATAAAAGCGGGGGTGGACGGGGAGGAGAGATGTGGGGATGGGGGGTAGGGTGAAAAGGGTGGATGTCATGGTGTTGTGGCGGGGGCGGCACGTCATGGTGTTGTGGTGTTGTGCGGTACCTTACGGTGCTGTGGTAGAAGACGAGTTGGGGCGCCTGGAAGCGGAGGTACGTGGGGAAGCCAAACACGTGGATGGGCCCCTCAAAGCCCTTCACGCCCTGCAGGCGGGCAGTGCAGAGGCAGTAGAGGGCAGGTGAGGGCAGTGCAGGCAGGGCGAGCGCAGTGCAGGCAGGGCGAGCACAAGCACAAACAGTGAAGTGCAAATCTTGTATACGGATGTCTATGTGTGTGCAGCGCAAGTGCATGTGAGTGTGTACGCATCACTGCATGTGCAAGCCTCTCTGCATGTGCAAGTCTCTCTGCATGTGCAAACCTCTCTGCATGTGCAAGTCTCTCTACATGTACAAGTCTCTCTGCATGTGCAAACCTCTCTGCATGTGCAAGTCTCTCTGCATGTGCATGCCTCTCTGCATGTGCAAGTCTCTCTGCATGTGCATGCCTCTCTGCATGTGCATGCCTCTCTGCATGTGCATGCCTCTCTGCATGTGCACGCCTCTCTGCATGTGCATGCCTCTCTGCAAGTGCAAGCCTCTCTGCATGTGCATGCCTCTCTGCATGTGCACGCCTCTCTGCATGTGCATGCCTCTCTGCATGTGCAAGTCTCTCTGCATGTGCATGCCTCTCTGCATGTGCAAGTCTCTCTGCATGTGCAAGCCTCTCTGCATGTGCAAGTCTCTCTGCATGTGCATGCCTCTCTGCATGTGCAAGTCTCTCTGCATGTGCATGCCTCTCTGCATGTGCACGCCTCTCTGCATGTGCACGC